TTTGTTTAACATTGCATTCTTGAATGTACCCTTGTCAACGTTTGTTTAACATTGCATTCTTGAATAAAACTAGCAACACATTACTTTTTGTTTTATTTACTTTAAATAAGTGAGTAGGGAGACGAAAAAATATGTTTTTTGATGCTGAGACTGGACGAGTAGCTCTCGACAAACTGCCGACTTCAAAAGTAGCTCTTGGTTCAAAAAAGGTTGGGCACCCCTGCTGTACACTATCAATGCAGAAACAGAAGAAGAAAACTGACTATTTCCTGAAATATGCTTTCTTTTACAGTAATAAATGTGTCTTTTTCTGGTCAGCATGGATTGTTTTTAATTGTAGTTGATAAAGCAGAATTAAGATTTATGCAGGTATGGTGAAACATTCCTGATCATGTTCATAACCCTAAAAGTCATATCCAAAGATAGATGGTTAAACCTGCCTGAATGTGGATCAGTGTATGCCTGTGTTAATGTCTGTCATATGTGCCATTATGACCTAAAATATAGCTGCCATCTGAAATKAAAATGATTTTGTCCTTCTTCTCTMCAGACMCGACACCATCCCTGTCCCTGCTGATTTTGTGCTCTACCCTGGGTGTTGTGGTAGGAGGTGTTGTGGTCTGCTGGTGCTGCTGGTCACCCGGCTGTTTTGTTTGGCGTATCGGCATCTGCCGCTTTTTGTTCTGTTGCAACTCCACTTGTGCCTCCTGCCAGTTCTGTGCTTACAACTGCATACGCAACAAGGAGCACCGGGTGGCAAAAGTCAGCCCACACACACCAGTCAACATTACTCCAATGGGAACAGCTACCTCTAACAGTACCGAGGAGAACATAACTGCAGTTGCCATGTAGAGCAGAACATCTGTGCAGTTCTGGAAGACAAAGTTGACAATGCAGGGACAAGTAATGGAGATAAGTAAAACTCCTATTAAGGTACAGTATACTGATCTGATGAGGTTCAGTGTGCRATGCTGACTTTACCAGAAAGTAGTGGTGTCTGAGGAGGAATTATCATGTTATTAATGGATTCTGACCAGTCTTGTTAACTCACCTGTCATGCAAAATTATCATTGTCCTTCATCATAAACAGTTAAGTTGTATCCCACTATGCTKTTACAGTTGGAGTCTAGTTGGYRACCAGCATTTGCAATAGYCTTCAAAATATCTCTAAATGTTTGTGGGAGTTATCAATTCCTTACATGACATTGTGTGTAGTACAACCCAAAACAAAATGTTTGTAATGCTTACAGCTGTACCCAGTGCGTTRCTGTCTTAAAAGAGTTTAGGATTAATGACCCCCATTCACATAGCATAATTACACTGTTCTCAAATTACATTACTACACTGTCCAGAAACWATGCGACTATTAGATTACAACATCAAATTGAGGTGCCAAATGTTCCTACTCCTACACAAGACTATCATTCACTAATCACACTCTATTGCACAAAATGAAAGGCCAAGATCCGACAAAGCTTATCCACATTCTGGCCAAGGAACTGCATCATAAAGTCCCAATATCAATGAAGTTGGGACGTTGTGTAAATCATAGATAAAATGAAATGGAATATAATGATTTGCAAATCATTTTAAACCTATATTCAATTGAATATACTACAAAGACAAAATATTGTTCAAACAGATAAACGTTTTTTTAGCTACAAAAGACTGTGAAAATGAGCCAGTTTTGGAAGACACAAAGTTTGATTAGGKATTAAGGGAGCATCCCCAAAAGACTCAAGCATGCAGTATGCTGCAGCCAAAGTGCCAAAATCGGATCAGATTGCCACAGTTTCATGACAAAAACTGTGTCATTCTGTTCGCATTGTTGACATTTCAAGCCCATGTTGACATATCCTCCCGGGGAATTTTAGATAAACGTGCTAAACGAAGGATTGCAGCTGGGATCCGAAAAGATAAACACAAATTTTTTTGGGACAAGCGGCCTTGAATTTCTTGCTACTTTCAGTCTCACTGCATCTCTGCAGATGGTGAAAAAAAGTACCAAAGTTCCGAATTCCGTGTCTTCTCGCCTCTCGCCGTCTGAAGCTTCACCCAGGTGTATTCCTTACATCGCAGAGGCACGATCCTGGGCAGCATTCTTGTCAGAATCACATCCAGTATGCGACTTATCTCCTCCAGCATCTGAGTCTGTGTGCTTCCAGAGCGGCMGATTCCATYCATTTTCTCTGACAACTTTTCACAGGCCCACACTGTCTGATGGTCAGATGTTCATGGGAGTGTTTGATTATGCTGGAAGTACTCCGATGCTGCATTTTGCTTCAACCACACACTTAAAAAAATAAAACTACTCTCTTCCAAAAGCCAACTGTTGTAGTGTCAGTGAATACATGTTTGTCTCTACATCTACAAATCCAAGTTAAAACTCTTCCAAGCAAAGCAAAAGTCATATATCAACAACTCCCAGAATTCTTTTGGCTTCTCTGGGCCTGAGCTCATCTAAGATGGACTGAACTAAAGTAGAAGAGTGTCCTGTTGTCTGACGAGTCATTATTTGAAGTTGTTTTTGGAAATCATCGACGTCATGTCCTCTGGGCCAAAGTGGAGAAGCACTGTACGTATTGCTATTGCGAAGTTCAAAACCCAACCTCTCTGATGGTACGTGTATGTAGTATGTGTTAGTGCCCATGGCATGGGTAATTTGCACAGCTGTGAAGGCTCAATGCTGAAAGGTACATACAGGTTTTGGAGCAACATATGCCTCCATCCAAGCCACATTTTTTTCAGGGACGTCTGCTTGTTTCAGCAAGACAATGCAAAGCCATATTCTGTCTGTGTTACAACACCGTTCATTCAGCACTCTGAAGCTAATACAGATAAATCAATCTACAGAGACTAATCAATTCTTTAAATCACATCAATACACTGATGGGACAAACATCAGAAGCAGTGGGGGTTCAGTGTCTTGACCAGAGACACTTTGACATGTGACCAAACCGCAGTGGAAGCGAACTGCCAACTCTCACATTAGAGGAATGACTCCTCTAACCACTCAGCTACAGCTGCCCCTACAGGTTAAAAAGAATTTGCAAATYATTGTATTCTGTTTTAATTTATGTTTTACACATCCCACCTTCATTGGAATTGGAGTTGTATACTAGTAAAGATCATCCAGGTCAATAAATCCAAAAAAAGATTAAGAAACAAAAAACTAACCTGAAGTTAAAGATGTTTTGCTTTCCATCCAGGAGGCTTTCTCAATTCAAAATGTCTGGAGTTGTGTGGAGTTCCAAGCTTTATAGACCTTCCTTGTTAGTGCTTAGACTGACATGCAGATTGTTTTGTTTTTTTAACATTTTCTTGGATTGAACTGCATCACAGCAGTGTGGCCTGAACTGTTGTTTGTTCCACACATGAGATACAATCACTTTTATAATTTGGTAAAGCAGATAAACTTTTAACTATAGACTGTCTCAAAGTGTGAATGTGAAAGTTTTGTTTTATTGAGTAAGAATAACTTTTGTTCGAAAAACAAATAGAAGATGTCTTTTTCACTTTAGAATGTCAGCACATTTTGTTTGAACTACCTATGAAGTTTAGGAATAATAAAGTTTTGTGTCAACAGTTTCTTTTTTGTGAACAAACTGTTTTAATCTGTTTTAGAAGAGTTGTGTTTTTGTGATGCTGTGTTTCCAGTAATTTGTGGACCCATGCTGAACAGATGACTTCAAAGTTGCCCTCCTGGTGACAACAGCTGGTCTGCCTCTGAGAAATCTGTTCTAACGTCTTTTTCCTGCAGTTTTCCTTTGTTGTTTGTGAAATTGAAACAATTAAACTACAAAGTCATTCAGCATTTGAATCACTGTATGGAAATTTGTGACCCATCATATCAAAATGAGGATTAAGTCAAATTTGGTCAAAATGGCCTAATTATATTTTCAGATTATTGGCTTTAAAAGCTACATTTTGATACCTGGATCATTCTGTTATTATAATTAAATCCATAAATATGACTTAATTTGTCTTGTTGGTTACAATAATACATAAATATTTGGTCTGAATCCTAATTTTATGCCATTTTAATGAGGATTTTTGATGTCCTCCACAAATTATATTTGAATATTGAGATTTCCCAGCTAAAAATAAACACAGCTTTGCGCAGAGAAAATCCAGACCACTGGATATGAAGAAATCCCTCAAGATGAAAGTTTTGTTTGCCAGTGAACTTACAAGGCCAAACCTGGCAGGGACCCGCACATCAGAGGCAGCTGCAGTCTGTGGCGCCCGGCACAGGTCTCTTATATGGCGGGGGTTGACACCACGCCAGCGGGGATAGCAGGGGCGAACTGGGGCAAAAAAGTGGCCCGGGACTTTAGTAACTGACTGGCCCATTCAAGGTCCGGGCTAGCAGATGATGTCTGCAAATGTGGGAGGCCGATGATGGAGGCGGAAACAACAAACGTCCTCTCAGGGCACAGTACAAAATCTAAGGATGTAATGTTGAGGAATTAGTAAAGTTATTAAGATAGCAGAGCAGCAGTTAGCTCACAGGCATTGACCCTCAGAGTTCCATATGGTCATTTTTAACTCATTTTGATTTTACCCCCCAAAAATAACATTATTATAATCTAATGTGGTATCGTTTTCTTTTTCCTGCACATGAACTGTGTGAATTTCATTTCATTTGAATATACTGTTACTGTATATTAGACCTTCATTCAATAAATAAATACAAATAAAATTAAGTAAAATAAAGTAAAAATCCAAGTGGGCAAAGTTTTTTGTGAAACCCACAAACATTTATGATTTATATTTTTTAGAATTCTAATGTATGATGTAAATTTCTAAAAAAAAAAAACAGCTACTGAGCACAGTTTGGACCTAATCCACACATGATAATGGCTTTTTTTATTTAACAGCTAAATGCATTGTTTTAAAGGTTAGCAAACTAGAAACAAATACAGCCACCTACATGACTACCATCCTCCTCCCGGTCACGTTGTTCTCCAGACATAGGTTYCAGTGAGGAGGAGGATGATGTACCAGCAGAAAATAAATGTCAGTTTGTGACACTTGRCTGAATTTGCTTGTAGACGCTTTTTCTTTTCTCTCAATTTTTGTTCTCCTYCCTTAYGTTTATTCTCCATTTTTGCTCTTCTTATTTTTATTATTCATTTTCTTCTTCTTACTTCTTTTTCCTCTTCTTCATCAAACTTTTCTTCTTCGGTCTTTGTGCTTGGTAAACAATGAATTGGTGCATTATCGCCATCTACTGGTATTGAGTGCAACTATACAACCTTTTTTTTCCTCGTTGCCTGCACCAGCCCAGTGATGCACCGGCCCACTGGGAAAAGTACCGGTACTCCTAATGGCCAGTACGCCACTGGGACAGGGAGAGCTGGGGCCGCGGAGGCGGAAACCATCATCCGAACCGACGACATGTAGGCTACCAGCCAACCTTCAGGAGGGTCACAAGATCGCAGGTGCAGAAAGAGACCAGGTGGGCCCACCACTCCCTTTCCCCTCCGGGAACCCACAGGAAATCGTGCCAAGAGAAAACTTCAACAGTCGACCGCTGCGTTTCCACCGGCGCCGCCACCGGCCTTTACATTGAGGAAGTGGAGCGAGGGTAYGGCATAGGTGAGCAAGGTGTGAATTGAATTTAGGTTAGGGTAAATKGTCAGGGTTAGGATATAAAATTTCCAAAAAATGAATGGAAGTCAATAGAAAGTCCCCACAAGGATAGAGAGACATAGTGTGTGTGTGTGTGTGTGTGTGTGTGTGTGTGTGTGTGTGTGTGTGTGTGTG